CTCTGTGACTGCTTTGTCTAACAGTATATTGCACAACTATGACTCTTAAAACTTCTGGACTCAGGCCTTAAGAGACTTGCATCTTCCATTTCCTATCTCTTGGTATACTCCCTCTTAGAACCCTGATCCACAGTGTAAAAGCTCTGACAAACCCAATCCAGGCTGTCCTGCCAATATGAAGCCCAAGTAATAAGTTTGTGTGTGGAAAGAGAGATTCCTGACTGCTGTTCATCTGTTCCAGCCCCTAGCCCACTCCCAGCTATATGAGTTATCCCAGCTGAGAGTCCAAATCTCCTGGAGAAAAGACAAGCCATCCTAGTTATACCCTATCTGAATTTCTGACCCATAGAATCATAAAATACAATAATAAAAATTGTCTTATTCCATTATGTTTTAGTTTGCTACACAGTGATAGGTAATCAAAACAAGGAAAGAACAAATCAGACTTGGTCCTTGTCCTCAGAGAACTTAAGATTATCACAGTTAAAACAATTCAGAGCTAATATTGTACATCCCAGTGTGGTGTAAGAAATTGAAATACAGCAGCTTAATAGAAACTAGGTAGAAGAAACCTAGCATCTTGTTTATCCTCTTTGTTGTGTACCCTATTAACAGTGCTATTATGTGCCTAGTGCTATACTGAGTCTGGTCCCAACTCTAGAACTTTTCAACTAAGGGTAGGCATTCTACCAGGAGTGGGCACAGGAGGCTGCCACAATTGCACCCAGCAGCATTGCTGCAAATGTTCAGATTTTTAAATTGTTCTTAAAACTTATTCTAAGTGATAAACATAATAGTCAAATATTTCTCAACATACACATCCTTCTCATGGAAAGTGAGCATTTTGCTTTTATTATGGTGGGACCTAGATTATGTGAAATCATGACTGATGGGATGGAAGATGCTATAGGTTAAAATCCACTGCCCTGGGGGAGCTTATTAGTGTAAGATGTGAGGCAGAGTGTATAGCGACTTATTCACGAGGTGTACATAAGCATCCCAGTAAACTAAGAGGGGAAATATTGTTTCATTGATGTGTTTTCTAGTTCATGTTCAGTAATAACTTTTTTCTCTCTTTAAACCAACATAGTAAAGTTTCAAAAATTCAGTAAAAAGTTAAGGTTAGATTTTAAAAGACTCTCAGGGAAATAGATCAGAAAAAAAACACAAATAAATACTAGAGGTCTTTCCAAGGAATTCTATAGAAGCTCTGTAGTCCAGAGGTTACAAACTCAAATGCTATCAGGGCCAGGCATGACACTGAAAGTGAGGGAAGTGAGTCAGGTGTCAAGACAGTGAATGGTGACTAGAGAGGCATATCCCATCCAATCCGGAGGGGAGCTTGCTCTCAGCTCAGAGCACCTATGCCATGTCCATGGGCCCAGAGATGCAAACTTTGTAAGTTTTCTAGACAAGCAAGACATTCCAATTTTTTCTATTAGATTTCCTAATTCTAAATGTTGGGCCAAATGAAATACATCTGTGGGCTGATATTAAGCAATCTCTGATGTAGACACTTGACATGGATTGATGTGGATATCGGCCTCTCATAGCTACAAAACAGACAAATGAGTTTGGCCAGACCTTGCTGTCAGTGGTTGCAGTAACCCTGGTAAGATTTTGTTTTTTAAACGCACCTCTCCATTAGTGATGGCGAGTGAAATGTCTGGCTTTGCAAATTACTGCTGTCACTTAGTTTAATGTACTCTTGTTTTTACATATTTATAAAAACCTTTTACATTATTAATAGTGATTAAATGCTTAGACACTGAAGATCAATAATGCTTCTGTTCACCTATTTACATTATTAAAAAGTAATAAGTCATACAGAGCACGCAGAATATGTGGTTTACTTTGTAGTCATGTTTGGACGAGACTGAAAAAAAGAAAGGCTACCGGGTAAAATGTATTTAGCAAAAACGGTAATTGAGTTGGGCTCGTTAGAGACTCCACTGTGGGCAGGGTGCATGTTCACAGTTACAATGCACCATCATGGGGCACAGGGGCACACATTCCATGTGCTTCACATGCCAATGCAGCAAATTCAGAACAAGAAAGTCTAGTCTCACTTGGATGCACAAGGCTGAACAGTTATTTAACCTTTTTGTGTCCTTGCCACCGTGTTTAGCTCCAAAGCCTTTTAATGGTGGCAACACTCAACAGCGAGTCATCTGCATGGGTCATGTTTTGCCAGTAGGCAAATGAGCCCCTTGGCACTGCTTTCTTCATCTGCCTACCCAGCTATCTTTCAATTACATGGCAAAAGCAAAAACGCAGAGTGGTTCACCTGATTATGGCACATAAGTGTTCTACAGCAGTTAGAGGAGAGCCACTCCACAGTCAGGGATGAATAAGGGCCGTAAGTCCTTTTAAGGTCATCAGCTATCCTAGCCTTCTAGGTAGCCAAAGTGGCTCAGCCTAGTGGTTTAGAGTCAGCTCTAAGTATCAGTCTGCTTGGGTTCAAATGTTAACTATGACACTTATTGGTTGTAACCTGGGGCAAAAGACATAATTGACATCTCAGTTCTTGTTGTCTCACCTGACATGTGGGGATAATAACAGTGTCTACCATATAGGGCTTTTGTACGATTCAATGAGATAACACACGTTAAAACTTAGTACAAGACCTGACACATAGTAAGTGCTCAATAAAAATTTCCATGTAGCAAAAGACCCACTTTACCAGTCATTCAATTGTGTTCTTCTACCAAGAGGAAGTTCATTAGCACAGGTTTGAAGTTTATAAATAATGTCATTAAAATGTATTAGATTGAACTGGGTTTTTAAACATCACTTGGTTTCTAAGTTTCTTGTGTCGACACAGATGCCATTTGTCTAGTATACATTTGATCTAAGCCACCAGGTTTATTTAAGGACAAATTGAAATTAGGCAGTTGTGGTATAACGGAAAGGTTACAAGAGTTGTTACAATCCAAACTTACTGGCTGTGTGGTGTTGGGCAAGTTATTTAATCTCTCTGAACCTTAGTTTCCTCATATGTAAAATACACCAATACAGATACCTACTTCACAGATATATTGTGATGTTAGAAAATAATGTATGTTTGAGTGCTCTGCAAACTCTATGTACTATGTAGATGTAAGAGCTTGTGACAATGATTATTTATATCTGTGATCAGAGTTGGATTTATTATTTTATCCAGAGTAACACGGCATGTGCTGATTTTTAGAGGAAATATAGTTAGATTGTGTGTCCTCAACTATTTCCCTTGAAAAAGGCCCATACCTTTTCTGACAGATTAGATGTGTCTGTAATAACCGAGACCACTGGATGGAGGAGACCTGCCATTCTGAATTCAAATGTGACTTGCAGAGCCAAATGATAACTTGGAACATTTAACGAAAGAATGAGGAAAACTCATCAAACCAGGAGGGCATTAACCACCACAAGTAATAGGTTTGTTCACTTGGTGAGCGGCTGCTGAGCACCACTGAAGCATGAATCTGAACAGCAGGGGTTGAAGTTTCTTCTCACTTTTCTAAGTTTATTGCTCAAACGCCCTGCTCTGGGTTACAATGACTTGTCTCTTGTCTCTCTCAGGTCCTGACTTTCTCACTTTACTTGAGTTCAGTGAGTCTTTTAATTTAGCACCATGTCATGAAGGTTGTTATTTCTTTTTGGACTGACTTCTCTATACATGGAGAAAGCCACAGAGTTGATGACTTAACATGACTTTACATAGGGAAATGGGAATAATGGCTGTTTTTTGTTCCCTTTGTTCCTCTGGTATACAAGAAATAAATCTCCACTAACTAAATAATTACTTTGACTGTAGCCCATTCAAAAGTTACCCCAGAGTTATCAAGTTGGGAGAAATGCTTCCCAATGGGAATGACTAAGTATCTTGGCAAAGGCAAGCTTTGACTAGATCACCTGGAAGAAAAGGCCTTTATTGCGATGCACTAGCATTTGGGTTTTCGGTTCTGCCAGAGACCTAAAAGGTCAGAATGTCATAATAATAAAAATAATGAATAAGATTTACGTTTCAATAACAGTTATAGTACACAATCTGTGGGAAGAACACTCAGTATTTTAAATTTGCATGCACATGATACCCCCCCTTTTTCTTCTGTGTGTAGGTCTAAAGTGAGTTTTAATTTCCTTATATTGTCACTGGTTTCAATATAACCTCTTGACTGAGTTTTTCTTGGGGACTGACACCATCCACTAGGACGCAACTGAGTGGGTGAGGTGCAGACTGAAGCTCCTGGACAAATAGTTTCCATGTTTATTTTTTAAGCTCCTGTTTGCAATAGTCTAGAAGCTAGTGAAATATCAGCTTGTGGCATGAACAAAGAAGGACAAATATAAGAGACCAGAAATGTTGACTTCAGTGACTTACTTATAACTCGTGTTAATGAGTAAAATATGTCATTGCTGAAGATGAAGCAGAGAATAACAATGAGCAAATTCATGTTATTACACTTCAAATAAGTAAGCAATTAAAAAAAACTTTCTTCACCTAACGGGTTGGACTTTGGTCTCAGATCTTGAGTGACAACTCATGCATTTGAGCTTTCATAGAAGACAGATTTTCACAAGTCTTGCATTTCACGTTAGGAAGTCCAATTCACCCAATTCTTTCATATGGAAAAATTTACACATGGAATAAAACTTAAAGTTTAGCTGTTGAAATTCAAGAAGCTTTCAGGGATCAATCCAGAAGCTAAATAGTGAATTTGCAAATTATACTTCCATCTGTTTTTTTTTTTGTCATTAAAAGACCCATTCACTACAATTAATACACAACACAAGTGTGCGTGTGTGTGTGCCTATCTTTTATGATTTAGAATCTCTAGAAATGAGTTCTCTCCATTAACTAATCAGTAAGGGCGTGAACATTCCAGGTAAGCCTAAAAAATAACAATGTGGACTGGGTGGAATGGGAAGTAACCCGATCTTTAGAAAATATCTTCCTTTCACATTTCAGGGAAAACATGACCACTGTTCATTAAAGAATAAAATAAATACACATATACCTGCTGTCGAATGAAATCTCTGGAGGAATGACATGAGTACTGTCCTTGCCAATGAGGAATTTGATTCGATCATAGAAGAGTCTTGAAGTATGCTGAGAGAATAGGGGTTGGCTTTGCTGAATGAGGTCAAGAGGGTCTGGTGAGCCCTGACAGAGAGGACTTATGTAACAGTTGCTTTGTTGACAACAATCAGGGTCCACACAGTCGGTCAAACCATCTGGAAAAAAAGTGTTGAAATGTAGCTTAAAAAGAAGCAACATAGTTTAAAATCGGCACAAATGGAGAAAAATCTGAATACAGTCAAGGATAACTGTCCATATATGAGTTCAGAATCTATTAAATCCACATTTCTCATGAATTATCACTCATTCTGAGTTTATACGGCACATCAGTAAAATTCAAATTATTTTGTTCATAACTTTTTCTTTCTTGATTTCTCTAGCATTTGTGGGCTGTATTATTACATTGTTTAGCATTTGGATAGAGTAGTCTGTGAGATAGCACTCTTTGGAAGTTTCCTTTTCCTCAGCAAGACCATCCTCCAGGCTAGCAACTCTCTCTTATAATTATTCTGAATTTCTAACACCATGTACAAGCATGAGCACACAATTAACAAATTCTCACTAACTTGAATTTGTTTTGTTTTGTTTTTAAAAGAAAGGAAGGGAGATGGAGAGACAGAAACAACGATGTGAGAGAGCAACACCAATTGGTTCCTCACATAAAGACCTCAACTGGGGATCAAACCTGCCACCTGGGTATGTGCCCTGATTGGGAATCAAACCGGAGACAGTTTGGTGCACAGGACAATGCTCCAACTGGGTCACACCAGCCAGGGCAATTTATTGGTATTTTAAAAAATGTTCCCAATGTTTTATCAACTAGTAATTCAAAATAGAAATTTGTATTCCCATGTGGATTCTTCCTGAATCCACATTTATTCCAAGAAAAAAATCACATAGAGGCTTTATTCTTTGGTAGAGGAAGGACGAGGGGCACAGGGGTTACGGGAGGAGGGGAGACCATGGAGAATCTAATAGGTACAAAACACTGCATCAGGTGCTTGGGAAAGCAAAGAGTTTTATAAAACACCTCTTTTCCTGTTTCCAGGAGCTCAAAGCCTAGTAGGAGAAATAGGTGTCTAAAACAGCTGGCTTATACTAGTTTAAAATGCAGGGAGTGTTGTAAGAGAGTTGCACACAAAGAGAAAGGGTCAGAGTGATTAACAGCATATGGACACTTCATTCCACACCCAATAAGAAAAAAAAATTAAAGTCCTTCCAAGGTCCTCAAAGCAGACAAGTGGCCCTAATTTAGATGTTTAACAAGAGTAAATATAGAGATGCTAATCTTCTTGGCTTGTAGTAGAATAGGGAGGCTCAGGCAGAGCAGTGGCTCCTTAGGCTGCTGAGGAAAGTTACTGGCACTGGTTCCATGCAGCTCTTGTGCTTGCTCTCACTTCCTGACAGGCCTGCTCCCGCCAAGCTGGAGGGGGATGTACCACAGCTGGGGGCAATGAAAGCCAGGAACACCAAGAGTAGGTGGTTGGAACAATAGCCTTAGGGCACCCAGCAAATATTTTTCCCCACATGAGGTCCTTTCAAATTCCATGTACCACAGACACTACTTTGATTTAAAATGCAGTTTGCTTCTTTCTTGCCATCCCTGTTTGTTCAGTGTACTTCTGCCCTGATTTCCACTTCTCTGCATACATATTTCTCTTTCACTGATGACAACTGTGGATTTGTTTCAATAAGAAGTCCCCTTCTTCTCTCCTTTCTCCCCACATTCAGCAAATTATATTAACAGATTTTCTATAGATTTCAGATGTCACTACCACCTCTCTCACCAATCTGTTGTTCTCAGTCTCCTATTAGCACATTACCTCTTAACTCTGCTAATTAAACATCTGCATGCACTGAAAAGCTGGCAAAAATATCAGGCTGATTAAAAGAGTTCTCTGATGATTGGAATTGGTGCACAAAATACTACACAATGAAAAGCTGCCTTTCGAAGGGCAGTCACTTTTATCTTTCAATTTGTAACAAATGCACTAGCAATAATCAGATTGGACATTCACAGGTTTCAACCTGTCAACCACACAATTCTAACTTATTTTTGAAAAGAAATAGATTTGAAATAAATAGCAATGCCCAAATGATTTTCAAAACTGGGCTCTAAACTAAACACAAAGCCAATTCAAAAATGGGACTCACATTCTCATCTAGTTATGTGCTATAAATTCCAAGCTAATGTTTCATATTAAGTAATTGCCTATTACACAGGGCCGACCCTCTAAGACCTCTGTTTTCTGAGAGAACAGTGAGACTTCTGTTAAATGTAGGAAGGCCACACCACAAGCAAGCAGACCAATAAAGGCATGTAACCTGCAAATAATAATTCATAGGTAAGCCCAGTACATGGGCAAAGACCTACTTGCCAATTATCACATTGGATAACAGCCCATAAAGTATGTCTAGACTGTTACAAAGAAGTGCAAATGACAGTCACACTGCATGTGTGGGCTTCTTTTTTCCTTTTGGCTATTAACGGTTCTTTTATTGTTCTGAAATAGAAGCGGTGGCACCCTCCTGACAGCCAGGCTCAGGGCATCAGATATGGGCATATCAAATGTTCATTTATTTTGCTTTTAGGGCCTGTTCCCTTTAAAGGAATAAAAATAAAAGCTAGCAAAAAAGAGGGTGGTTAAATTGTCTTGAAGGACTAAACATGGCATTCCCTGATCCTAGCTTTGCCACAACCAGTGAGGACTATGTCAGTTGGCTCAATTGGGGCTGATAAAGATCAAGGACACTGGTTTCTTCTGTAGGTGATCAAGTCATTCACTATTAAACTTGTACCTGCTACAAGTACACCCTTGGTTGAAAATGCAGGGATTGAGCAAGGGGAAAAACCCATATTTTCCTAATCCTTAAAGTGAATTTTATTTTATTTTTTAAAACTATATTTTTAGTGATTTCAGAGAGGAAGGGAGAAGGAGAGAGATATAGAAACATCAATGATAAGACAGAATCATTGACTGGCTGTCTCCTGCATACCCCCACTGGGGATCGAGCCGAAACCTGGGCATATGCCCTGACCAGGAATTGAACCGTGACCTCCTGGTACATAGATCGATGCTCAACCACTGAGCCACACTGGTTGGGCCTTAAAGTGAATTTTAAAATATACATGTTTTCAGGAACAGCACTCACATTATCGACTTGATAAAAATGGACAGCTATTTCATGGTATGGTATCCAAAAGGATTTAGAAACATGTACAAATTTGTTATTATTTGCCAGATATGACACTAGTTACTTCCACATGTATTATTTCAACTAATCTTTGCAAAAACACTGTTAGGTAGACATTCGCATTTCCATTTTACAAATAAAGGAGGAAAGGCTAAATGTGGTTGCACAGTTGGAAGAAATATGGGAGTCATATCACACCCAGTGTATTGACTGTAAATCACCTATTCCACATCAGCATTTAAGCAATATTGCAAGTACTGAGCTAGGCTGTAAGACTTCTAAGCACCTGACTAATTAATATAGGTATTTAGAACATATGAAGTGGCTGAGATCAAAGAACCAGACTATTCTGATTCTGCCTAATCTTGACTGTGCCACTTACAATCTATAGGATTCTGGACAAATCAGTTCAACTCTTGAATTCTCTTATAGAGGAGTTTCCTCATCTCTAAGATGGGGATAATATAAATGCCCACCCTATAGAGTTGTTGTACTAATCGCATGCTATGATAATTATAAAGGCCTTAGCATAGTGTTTAGTATGTAGCTAGCATTCTTGATAAATGTTAGCTATTGCCATTAACAAATTTCTAGACTGTGCAGACTAAAAAGGAGTCTAGGGATAGTGTCCCAGGGGTAGATGCCAATGGTCTGCAGTGGCAGCTTAAAATGTTCAGACTCACTTTTATTGAAGTTGTTTTATCACTGGCCAGACAGCAATTAACATCTGTGTAGCATATTCAATTCGCTGGGATGTGTTTATTTTGTGAACTCTGCTTGGATAGGTTGTCAAATAGGCAGGATCCTAAGTGGCTCTGAATAGATACTAATGCCACAGTAAATATTCTTTCATTGAATTTTATAAATTCTGAATTTGTTATCATTTGGACAGGGGCTGGATTGAAGCTTAACCTTTTCAGGATCTATAGAATAGAAGGTCTGGCAAGCAAATTAATAGTGAAAAAGAAATTGAGGGGGTGCTCATTCCAATGACTCAATTACATAAAACCTTGGGTGTTGAAGAAACACATAAACAATGTACCAATGATAAATCAGATAAATCATTCATAAACTTTTACTAAAGCAGGCCCACTACTAGGTACTCCTGTCAGCTTAGTTGTTAATGTTATATGCATTGAAGATAATATGATCATATTTCCTTTGGAAGTAGCCTGTAATTCATTTTTTTCCCATTTATTCAGACAGACTTTCACCCCAGCATTTTACCGCATTAGTAAAAAGAAAGTGGGAGAGGCTCAAGTGTACTCAGGATTTGATCTGCTCAAAACATTGTTATTCCCATAACCACACGCAACTTACTTTTTCTGTCAGGAAAGCACATTGCTTATATGCTACTAATATTCACGTTTTCCCATCCCCACCTGCTGTCAGTGGCTTCCTATATCACTCATAGTAAAAGTCCATGTCCTGACAATGATTTACTTCCTCATAGTCTGGTTCTTCACTGTTTCTCTCTTACCTCTCTGATCTTATGTCCTATTAACCCACAACCCCCTTCCCACTCTTCCTATGCCTGGAATGTTCTCTCCAATAGCAACATGGCCCACCCCTCACCTCCTTTAAGTCTTTATTCAAATGCCACTGTTTTGGTGAGGTTTTCTCTGACCACCTTGTTTAAAATTTCACCCTTCTCCTACATTCCTTATCCTCCCCCCTTGCTTTTAAAATAATTCATCACACACCGTCTTCTGTCATACTATATTTTAAAAATTGGTTTATTGTCTGCCTCTCACTGTCTATGGAAGTGTGGATTTAGTATTTTTTATTCATTGCTATTTCCTCAATTACTAGAATAGTACCTGGCTCAAAGTAAGCATTCAATAAATATTTATTGCATGCCCTAAAAGTCCTATTTCTCTGATATTTGTAAATTTACCTAGAGATAATAAACATTTAACTAATGCATCAAAAATATATTATAGATTTGTCATTGACATCACATCTTTATTACCCACTTTAAATCGTTGTGCTTCAAACATTATCTCATTTCTTTTCACCATTGCTAAGTAGGCAGGAGTCAAGTATTACTAGCCTTAGTTGATAGACAATGTGACAGATCCAGTCAGAGTGGATAACTGAGTCATAGAGTTTAGATTTTCCAACTTCCACTTGTATCTGGAATCACTTGGCAGTTTAGGCTTTTATAACTAAGTGATGATCCTTTAATAAATGGACTGCTTAAAAACAAGGGGGGTATGGTCAGAAGACAATACTTAGAAATATGCTTTCCGATGTTAGGTGTTTTGTTCCAGCAGAATCTTAAAAGTAAATGTGGAATGGGTGTCTGGTTCTTAAACAGTGCAAATGTTACAATTTGTTGTTCCTTCTATTTCATTTTCCTTTTTATTAAACAGTGCAGCATGCTGGTGACATTCAGAACATGAAACTTATTGATCCATGAGCTTATATGTGCTCATAATTCACCCACAGTGCTGATTTCCAGATCTAGAAATACTACATCATAAACCAGGCTTGCAAATAGCTATTGTTCTTAATGAATGGTGATTTGTTATAAAGAATGATTCCTGGAACATCATTCTCTTTTAGGCAATTAACTTATTGATTTTACCAGTGAATCTGAACATGGACCACTGGAAGAGCTTGTACAAGGGAAGCTTGGACAAATATGTGACAACTACTTAAAAGAGGGGGGATGGGGAGGGCCATTTTGATTAAACACTCTTATTCTATATCTTTTTAATCTCCTTGACAATCTTCCCAGAGTATCACAACCCACTTTCCTTCCTCTATAACTGGAGTGAATAAAATATAATCTTTGATGGATGAAGATCTTATGAAATTCACACTGTTCTGTATGATCTGGTCATTGCCAACCTTTATATTCTTGTCTCCCACCAATCTCTCCCTGACTCATTGTATTCCAGCCGCAGTGACTTGCTTTTCCCTCCTAGAAGAGGCTAGTACATTTCCACCTCAGGGCACTTGTACATGCTGCTTCCTTGGCCTGAACCCTGGTCGGCAAACTGCGGCTCGCGAGCCACATGCGGCTCTTTGGCCCCTTGAGTGTGGCTCTTCCACAAAATACCACGTGCAGGCGCGCACGTACAGTGTGATTGAAACTTCGTGGCCCATGCGCAGAAGTCGGTATTTTGTGGAAGAGCCACACTCAAGAGGCCAAAGAGCCGCATGTGGCTCGCAAGCCGCAGTTTGCCGATCACTGGCCTAGAACATTCTTCCCCTGACTCATGTGAGGCCTCCCTAATCATGTAGACTTGGTTAGGATGCCCTATTTACATTTATAGCACTCTAAAAATTTTATGGACTGCTTTACAGTTGCACATATAGTTATTTGTGTGGTTTCTTTAAAAAAACATGTTTTTTTTAAAATTGATTTTAAATAGAGAGGAAGGGAGAAGGATATAGAGACAGAAACATCGATGAGAGAGATATATCCATTGTCTGCCTCCTACACACTCCCCACTGGAATGGAGCTTGCAACTCGGGCATGTACCCTTATTGGGAATTGAACCAGAGACCTCTTGGTTCATAGGTCTATGCTCAACCACCTAGCCACACCAGCTGGGCTGTTTCTTATTTAATAGCTGTTTTCCTTTCAAGCCATAAGCTCCACGATGGCAGAAACTTCTCTTCTCTGGTTTGTCATTTTCTCCCCAGTGCCAAATATAATACTTGGCACAAAGTAGTAATGAATAAATGAAACACTAGGTACCCAATATGGTATGTTTGGCTGAAAGGTAAACATATGAATCAAATAGTTGGATCAGTGCTATCCAATAGAACTTTCTTCGACGATGGGAATGCTCTAGATCTGCACTAACAGAGTAGTCACCAGCCTCATGTGATTACTGAGCACTCGAAATGTGACTAGTGCAATTGAGAAACATAATTTTTAATCTTATTTAAGTTAAATTTAAAGTCACATGTGACTAATGGCTATATATGAGACAGTGCAATTTTTGACATCTCCAAATAGTAAGATATTGAATGGTCTATAAACTTAGCCAAGCAACATAAAGAAATTAGACATTTTTATTAAATCAAATTTATCATTTTTTCCTATTGTAGTTTCTATCGTTGCTTTTATATTTAAAGTCCCTTCCCATCTTGAAATCTGTCATTGATATTTTCTTCTAATAGTGTTTGAGTTTTCTTTTACTTTCAGCTCATTATTCAGCTGGAGTGTTTTTATTTATCTTAGCTTTTGAAATATGGTATGAATTGAAAATCTAGGTTTTTTCTTTAATATTTGTCTCAGCACCATTTATTTCATAATGCTTCTTTTCCCTACTAATTTTTGATGCTTGTTTTATAGCATACTAAATTTATATTTGTACTGGGGAGTGTTCAAGATCTTTTATTCAGTTATATTAATTTGTCTACTCTTGCATCAATACCGCTTTGTTTTAATTATCATAGCTTTAAAATATTCTTTAACATCTGATAGTTCTAGCTTGCTTTCACTAGTCTGTTTTAGCTACTCTGATTCAGTTAATATAATGTCTAAATTTTTTTCCTCATGTCAATTCATATGTGCATGTAACATATAGCTATCATATCTTCTAACCCCCAAATCAGGATACATGATTGACACATAAAAATGTGGTTCCCATAATGTTGAGTCACCTCTTCCAAGCACAGGGTTATGTACCTGGTACATAAATGAGGTAAAAACATTTGATAGGTTTGTGATTTCTATAGTAATTAGTTTTTCTATATAAAATGTCTAAGATTTCTTTCCTTTTCTTGCATATTAATAAATAAATTCCAAGGTTATTCATTCTCTGTACTGTTTTTACTATTCAAGGAGCTCTTAGGTAGCTCCTAGACCAGCTGTGTCACCCACATATTCAATGCAGCCCAATTAGTTACTAAGAGTCACAATGCATTGAATCAGAGTATAACTAAAGTCAAAGCTGCAGAAAGTAGCAGCAATACTAATGAGCATTCAAAGCTGATTAGAATGTAAAAACCCCAGCCACTCTTTAAGTATCAACTATAATATGGAGTAATCAGGTAGCAGGTACTTGAAACAACTGCTTGAATTTTTTTATTATTGAGAAGATTTTTGAAGAATTATATTTAAAAACCCAGGACTACATTTTTCCAAAAGGTTCAATTGGCACTTTCTGATTTCATTAAAATGCACACACACATGCACAAACAAGTATGCTAATATTAATCATTAGTCATAGTCAACTAAATGAATCTTGAAACTACCAAATGAAGGACATTTTATGTATTCTTAGGAATATTACTTAAACACTATAAAATGGAATTATAGAGCCAGTAAGTACACAGAAGACCTAGTATTTGGGCCCAGAAAGTTCAACTTCAAAGCCCTGTGCTCTTAACCACAAAGTTGTTTCCACATAAAATTCATAAGGTCTTATAACTTTCTAAGGTAAACTGCTAGCCAGGACAAAAAAGGAAAAACTCACACTCAATTTGGTGCTTAAATTATGATCACTACCTTATTGATTTAAACCTCATGTTTGGGTTTAAACAACAAGATATATAATTGTCTAAGCAGTATAGAAAAGTGAGGAGTCAAATTGAATAATCTACCTCATTTTGAGCTAATATACAGAAATTAGAAAGGAAGCTTTCTTTTAATTTTATGTTTCCTTGTGTAGAAAGTAATAGGAAAGTGGGAATTTATTGTTTTAGGCTCATTCAGAGGTGATTTGAGCTGTTTTGAGGCCCAATTGTACAATGTATTAGGTGATTTTGTTTGCTTGACTAAAATAGAAGTGGTTACCTTAAGGCCTTGAAGCTGCATATGGCTTTTCAACATCATGTGCAGCTTTTGAATTAAATATAAAAAATTCTACTGTGAATCATCCTGATGCTATGTCCTTTGAAAGATACAAAGTGTTACTAAAAGGCAGAGACACAAGAGGGAGCTTTAAGTAGCTAAGAACAAAGAAAACTATTTCACATTCCATATAGTGCAAGCTACACTAGCATCTGGCAGTTTGGACATGGGTACGCTGATTTAATTTGGTATAGAGAAAATGACATCAGTAAGGGAGATAACATGGTAATAGTAGTTAAGAAAACAGACTCTGAAGTCATATATCCCTGAATTGGAATCCTGGTTCTGTTGCTTTCTAGCTGTGTGACCTTGGAAAAGTCATTTACCATCCCCACTCCAAGCACTGGTTTTTCCAACTATTAATAGGGAAAATTGTACCCATACCTCATGGAGTTGGTATGGGAATTAAATGAGATATAATGAATGCAAAGAGTTTTGAGTATTGCCTGATCATAGTAAATTTTCAATAAACAGATTTAAAAACAGTATGACCTTATATAACTCAATATTGTTTATACTAAGGATTCCTAATTTTCACTCTTGGCTAGATTGGTCATCACTGTGCTAGAGGCTGGGCTATTCCTTTCTAATATGGACATTTTATAAATGACTCACCTCCATCATTGTCCAAGTTATCTCCACAAAGCATTTCCATGACAACATTGCAGCCTGTCCCACTCCAACCCACCTGACACACACAGTGCCAACCATTTTGATCCAGGGTACATCGCCCATTTCCAAAGCAGAGCCCCGGGCAGCCATCTGAAAAGACAGCAGAGAGTAATAATCATGGAGACATCAGAATGGGATTGGCCAACTATGCTGTATCTCCCTCTACAGGGAAGCATCTACCATCTGGTTTCCATTCAGATGAGGTGTTGAATAAATGGAAGAAGAGCTTGCTTGCTTACCAAAACTTCCCAGGGAACTTGTTATCCCTTACTCTGCAGTGCTTTTCCTTAGGGAGCCAATTAAGCATTATTAATGCTAACGCCAATTCCCAACCTCTGGTTCAGATACCAGGAAAACCATGATGGGGACAAAAAATGTTTTCTGTTTCTTTTTGAAAAAATGTATCTCCTCATCTCAATCAAAACTGGATGGATGATGCTGAATGTAGTTATGGCCAATAAGCTGGAGAAAGGCAGCAGTTTCCATGAAGAGAAAATATCCCCTAACTACTTCAAGTCTGTGTGGATTTTTTCCTTGGGATGCACGGCTTTAGGACTTAGTTATATTGGTCTACAGTTCAGACTTTACCATTGTTTGCCCATATGGTGACATAAAAACTGCTGTAGCTGCTTTACATCTATTCATTTTTTTCTCTTTAAGATCGTTATTAATCTTAGGACTAAAGATTGATTTTCTTACTTATCTGGTATCTCTCTCAGAAGCTAGCATAATATTATGCCTGTAGTAAGTACACAATGAATGTTTATGGAATTAATGCATGTCAAATTTAGACTTTCAGAATTCTATAGAATAACTAGATAAATTTAGTCAAGAAAAAATTGTTATGTTTAAATGACTTCTATCCATTGATAAACTGCAAACATTGGCAATGGTCTCTATTTAGACTTTTAATTTCTCAGGGATTCCCTTCTCTTTCTACCAGTAGTTCAGAGTTAGGCTATTCCAAAGGGCAACTGTGCATGTACCAAGTGCTCAGTGGGCAGATGAACAGACACAACAATAAAGGTATAGAGCTTCTGGAAATTTTCCCAGTAGCAATACCGGACCAGATCTGGATTTTACTGGAGATAGTCTAATCAATATTATTTTCATTTAATCTCTTTGTAAGAAAATTCCATAAGTATAAAGGGCAAAAGAAAGTGTTATTTTTTGAAATCTGTAGATGCAACACAGTGTTCCTTCCAAATGGTTTTCCAAGCAACTATCAACAGACCAGAGGAAGAGAAACCTTTAAAATGAATTGACAGATGGCTGCTAGAAAATATGAAAATATTATATATATAATTGTCCCTCAGTATCTGTGGGTAATTGGTTCCAGGACCTCAGGAGTACCAAAATCTGAGGATGCTCAAGTCCCTTATATAAAATGGTGTTGTATTTGTATATAACCTATGCACATCCTCCCATATACTTTAAATAATCTCCAGATTACTTATAATACCTAATAGAATGTAAATGCCATGTAAATGTTGTTATACTTTATTGTTTAGGAATCAACTTTCAGAAATTTTTGTTTTCTAATACAGGGTGGGGCAAAAGTAGGTTTACAGTTGTGAATACATGAAACACAGAGTTTATTCTTGTATTATTATTTAGCAATTATTGTATTATTTTCCATACGAACAACTGCAAACTTACTTCTACCCCAACCTGTATTTTCGATCTGCAGTTAGTTGAATCTGCAGATGTGGAACCCACAGATATGGAGGACCAACTATTGTGTGTGTGTGTGTTTGTGTGTGTGTGCATACATACAGTCACCCACTGCTTAATAACAGGAGTATGTTCTGAGAAATGCATCATGAGGCAATTTTGTTGTAGAACATCATTGAGCATACTTACACAAACCTAGATGGTACAGCCTATTACTACAATTGTATTTGTTCTACTTTTATATGACTTGCAGTGCAGGTTTTTTACACCAGCATCACCACAAACATGTGAGTAATGCATGAACTAACACATTATGATGGCTATGATGTCACCAGGCAATAGGAATGTTTCGGATCCATTATAATTTTATGGGACCATTGTTGTATATGTGGTCCATCATTGAACCATTACAATGCGGCACATAACTGTGTGTGTGTATTCCTCAAGAATTGGTATAGGATGAACATATATAGATTTAAGAATGGATTTTATCCATTTCCATTCTCATGGATATAAAAAGGATATGAGAATTTAGGAATAATTTGGAATGTATTCAACCTTCTGAGGCTGAGGTAATAAAAGGCACCAGGATATCTGACAAAAAACTCTTAACTATCTCTATCAAAGGCAGATCACTGGGGGGGCGAATGATGGAGTACTTATAGAGGGATAATTCTTCTAACCTTGTAAGGACACTATACATGGACTTAGAGCTACATTGTTATGTTAAAAAAGTTCAACTGTCTGCCTAAGCCTACTTTATTGAATAATTACCTGTATGTGTTACGTGTTACACACACACACACACACACACACATCCCTAAAAAACAAGAAAAACAAGTTCTTAAAACTGCTTATCCATCCATTACTCCTTTACATGATACGGCAAAAAGTGAGTCTTGTTTGTTGTTAAAACAAAATACTTTATGATCTGACTATTATAGCATGAACTTGACAATATTATACTTAGAATTGCCAAAAGAGAAAGGAAAAAAACAAAACACCAACCCTTCCTTTCCCACATGCACATTTTTCATTTAACATATTTCTCTGTTATAAAACTACTGAGAAAAATCTTACCTCGAACAGCATCTAAGTAGTGAGCTAAAAAGGGGGGAAAAGAGTGATTAAATGAATTTCTGGGAGACCAAAGCTATACAACATATACTAATGGTTTACCATCTGTTGCCTGGAAGGAAAACAGCAAACTATGAACTGCAGAATGCCTGCAGCTCAAAAGTTGGTACACTGGCCCATGTAGTTTGGGCATCATATTTTCTCAGGGAAAGATATTAATGGCTTTTCTGCAAGAAACTCTATTAGGCTTCCTTAAAAAAGTTTTATATTTCATTAAAACTATAACAACTGCATTTTTACATTTTAGTAATAACTTTTGTGAAAGAGCACTAGCTAGATAGAACTTCTTCTTAGCAACATGCTTAGAAGGAAGTTCTGAAGTAACCACCTTTAGTAATCACAATATTTAAATCCTCTTATGTGAAGCCAATAAACTTACTGTAGTGCAGGAATGTAATTACTTAAGCTGCATATGAATCTCACCCTCACCCTCACCACTTTTTAAACGAATCTTAAATATTTTCCACAGTCACAGAACAAGACTTACTGTACCTTTATTAGAGTGGTAATGCAGTTTATTAAGATTATATGATATATATTATCTATATTATACATTACTTTGGCAAGTTCCAACCACTATAACAAAATACCTTCACCTAAAAATGGAAGCTGGAGTACAGTGTCATGGAGGGGAAAAGCCCATAAGCAATGACTTGGGCGTTCAGAACCCCATGCTTCCTTTGCTCTGCATGAATTTTCTGCGTGCTCATGGAATGCCACTGGAACATGCTGTGACCCACTTTCCTTAGCTGAACAATGGGAATCATACTTGTCCCTATGTATTGCAGGAAACCTTTGTGGCAGATAGTGTGTGTATCAAGGGCTTTGATATTTTTTCCAGAAAAATAAAGTAGTTTAAAACTGAAGCCTTCATTATTATTAGTTTTTTATAGTGTGAAGACCACATGACAGGTTAATTATTATTACATAGGCTTTCTCACACCCACAGAAAGTTCTTCCAGGCAACATCCTGAAAATTAGTGAAATTGGTGACAAGGGATGACAGATTCAGTACAAACTCTCTATGCTATCCAATAAACAATTCAACACAGATGTTCTATTGATGGTAGGTCAGAGGTGTCTTCCTCATATTCATTAAAGACAGTGCGTAATGATTGAATGGCCCCTGTTGAAGTAATCCTATTTAATAAAATTGCCTCTAAGTGCTTTCAACAGAAAAACCTATACTTTTCAAAAGGAAAAGTGGGCAGTGAATGTTAACCTTCACAAAAGAACTCTTATTAACCAATGACACTTTATTCCAATGTATCACCTTTCATTTGAGTAACTCAAAGTACTTGAAAGCTAAAAGGAATACTGAAGTAACAAGAAAAGAAATGACACAAGAAATAAGTAAGATATTATCAACAAAAGAGGAAACCTCCCAGTTAATGACACTTTCAAACTATGGCTAACCCTCCTTCTTCTCTCCTTCAACCTCAAATTCTATGAGAAGCCTGGTGATTGACTCACTAGACTGCTTTTCTCCAATTAATCCAATTTACTTTGTTTAAAGTATAGTGGTACTTACCAATTGTGCAGTGGTCGCCCTCCCATCCAGGGCTACACTCACATTTTCCATCTTTACATTGGCCATGCTCAGCACAGTGAGAATGACAGGAACGTTCTTCACATGTTGGTCCTACCCAGCCTTCTTCGCATTGACAAATTCCCCTTGAGCAGACTCCATGGCTACCACATTCCATGGTACAGAGCTCTGTGGGAATTCAAAGAAGATATACTCACATATTTTATTAAAACAAAAATTTACTATGTCCAAAGACATTAGAATTACCAAATGTTACAAAGACCTCTAGCACTTGAGTGAACGTACAAGGAATTTCATTAAAAAGATAGTTAAGTCTCTAAGTATAAAATAAACTCTAAGTCAAATTGATTTTGAGAAGTTCATAAAATGATAATGACATTCAAGGCTTAGAAATGAAGTTAATGCCAAAAAAATGTCAAATGGGTTTCACTAAAAATTCATTAAGATCACAAATAACGTTGCCAGGATTTTATGATGCAAAGCAATCTTTGGGGGAAAAACACACACACAATAAAATAGCACTCTAACTTCATTCAGGAAGAGCGGTTCTACCATTGAAAAGATAACTGTCTAATCGATTTCATCATGTACAAAAGCTGCCAATGATGATAATCCACTGTTTTCCCTGATCCTACTAACAATAGATGCATTTACTTCAAGCATTTAAAATGACTCCTAATTGGTTAAAATAAACAGTATTCTTATCTCAAAATATCACCCATATTTAGTTTATATCATCAAGGTATATACTGGCTCTGTGGAGGTTCTCTCCTATGCTCTGTCCTCTTGACTTTTTTGTTGAGAAATGTTGATTATTAATAAAATTTGACAGTATAGAAGCCCAAATAATAGCTTGGCAAGCTTTTCTTGTTGAATACCCCTACTGGAAGAGAAGAAGTGGGCTAAAAGCCTAGAGAAAGAATGCAATAGGTTTTGGGCCATATATCCTTAAAGGAAAAAGAGGGAGTTCTAAAAGCCAAGTTATCTATCTTCCATTGTCTTAAATTCTTAAACTATGTTTATATATTAAGAATGGAAACTAAAGAAAAAATAAACAAATGGGACTACATCAAAATAAAAAGCTCTGCACAGCATAAGAAACCATCAACAAAACAACAAGAAAGCCCACTGCATGGGAGAACATATTTGCCAATGTTATCGCTGATAAGGGTTTAATCGCCAACATTTACACGGAACTCATACAACTTAACAAAAGGAAGATAAACAACCCGATCAAAAAATGGGCAAAGGACCTAAGTAGATACTTTTCAAAAGAAGACATAAGGAAGGCCAAGAGACATATGAAAACATGCTCAAAGTCACTAATCATCTGAGAGATGCAAATCAAAACAACAATGAGGTACCATCTCACACCTGTCAGAATGGCTATCATCAACAAATGACAAGTGTTGACGAGGCTGTGGAGAAAAATGAACCCTAGTGCACTACTGGTGGGAATGCAGACTGGTGCAGCCACTGTGGAGAACAGGTTGGAGTTTCCTCAAAAAATTAAAAAAAAAAAGGAACTCCCATTTGACGCAGTGATCCCACTTAAAGGAATATATCCCAAGAAACTAGAAACACCAATCAGAAAAGATATACTAGTATGCACCCCTATGTTCATAGCAGCACAATTTACAATAGCTAAGATTTGGAAACAGCCTAAGTGCACATCAGCAGAGGAGTGGATTAAAAAACTGTGGTACATCTACACAATGGAATACTATGCTGCTGTAAAAAGGAAGGAACTCCTAACATTTGCAACAGCATGGATGGATCTGGAGAGCATTATGCTAAGTGAAATAAGTCAGTTGGAGAAAGATAAATATCACATGATCTCACTCATTTGTGGAATATAATGAACAACATAAATTGATGTACAAAAACAGATCCAGAGACAGAGAAGCATCCAGCACACCGTCAAACCTCAGAGGGAAGGCAGGGGAGGGTGGGGGGAAGGGGAAGAGACCAACCAAAGGACTTGTATGCATGCATATAAGCTTAACCAAAGGATACAGAACCTAGGGGGGTGAGGGCATGAGTGGGGAGGTCGGGGGCAGTGGGAGGATAAGGTCACATATGTCATACCTTAATCAATAAAGAAAAAAGAGAAGTATTAACACATGATGATTTTAGGTTACCCTATATTACATGTAACAAGTAACAAAGCTTTTCATATGTAACAAAGGTCTCTCCACTCTACAGATGGCAGAGTTTTTTTTTTTCAGTAGGAGAAAATATTCTTCTGATAAAACCAAGGTTATGGATTTTATTATTACCTAGATCAATTTGTTCACTAATTTATTTACAAGTATTCTTTGAGGGTGAAGTTCTCATTGGAAAAATAGTGGATGTGAAATAAAGATTTCTTTACATAAAAGCTGTGTACCCTTAGGCAAATTACTAACATGTGCTCTTAATCTCTGCTTGTGTAACTACACAATGAAAGTAATAATATTTGCACCTAATAGGGCCATTGGACAGATTTGAAATATATCTGTAGGTAGAACCAATAGGATTTCCTCCTCATGACTGGATTTGGTGAATGAAGTTTGAGGAAAATAAAAGTTTTGGCTTAATCAAGTGGGTGGATAATGTTGCCATTAAGAATAGCAGTGGAAGATCAAACAAATTAACTTTGAGATAATGTATAGATAGCCAAGTGAAGATGTCAATTAAGGAGTAGAATATATGAATTTGACAGGCTAGGGCTGGAAATATGAAATTGGCAACCATTAGAATATATGTGACATTAAAAGTGAGAGACTAGATGATATTCTAAAGAACAAAAATAGAAGAGCCTCAAAAATAAGCCCTGAGGTATTCCATGATTGAAGGTAAGACAGAAGAGGGCAATGAGTGATAGAAGAAAATCCAGGAGATTGTAGGGTAACTAAAGTCAAAAGGGGACACTTAAAGGAGGAAGGGAGTAGTTATCTGTATAATATTGGAAATTGTGGGTGACTTTAGAAAGAGCCATATTGATAAAATAATAGTTGTAATGCAAGACTAGAATGGGTGAATGAAAAGAGTGACTGGAAACCTGTGTGTGTGATTGCCAAATTGTAAAAGTCCAGATCCCAGAAAATACAAAAAAAAAGGAGGGGTTGGCCTAATAATAAATGGTAGCTCCAATAGATTAATCTTGAAACAGTACCTACTCTCTATATCTTGATTCTGAATCTGATTGATAATCTGGATTTGTAATCTTAATTCTTGTGGTGAACCTAATTTTGTAATTATGCTCCCCTTAATGGCCTCTCCCAAGACACTAAAAGCTGCACTGAAAGGGCCTTTCTAAGACCAGGGAGTTAAATTGGTCATAGCCAATCAGGTCAGAGCTAACTGAAACAATTAGAGACAAACATTTTGCATTATTGCTTTATATAATTATAAATTTTAAGCTTAGAGGAGTGTATCATTCTGGTGATTTCCTAAAAAGTAATAGGACTAGATAAACAGTATCAGCAAAATAGCAGACTAGACTATCCTTAGTCCATCTCAATATAAACCCTTACAAATGTTGAATATAATGCAATACTTTTAAAAGCAGCATGTATTGGCTCACAAGACAAATTCTTTTAAAAAAATATTTTATTGATTTTTTACAGAGAGGAAGGGAGAGGAATAGAGAGTTAGAAACATCGATGAGAGAGAAACATCGATCAGCTGCCTCCTGCACACCCTCCTACTGGGGATGTGCCCGCAACCAAGGTACATGCCCTTGACTGGAATCGAACCTGGGACCTTTCAGTCTGCAGGCCGACACTCTATCCACTGAGCCAAACCAGTCAGGGCAAGACAGATAAATTCTTAAGTGTCAGAAGCAAAAATGTTGTTAACAGCCAAAGCAGTAAACATATAAGTTAACCCTCTGGCAGCCTTGAAGTGTTATCATACCCAGTAATAACCAGGGGCTGGGGTATTTACATTCACAAAGGGAAAAGAGATGAAGTCTTTGGATCACTTACAATTGGGGAGTTAGACTAAAATTCTTACAAGAAAGCAAGGACTCTTGAAAGGCTGAAATATTAGTGAAATGGAGACTAATAAATTATCTACTATCCCAGAGAAATAGCAAGGAAGCATTGACTAAAATAATAATAATAATCTATAATAATAAAAGTGTAATATGCTAATTAGACCGGACAGCCAAATGATCTTCCAGACGTCATTCTGGATGTCCTTCCAGATGAAGTTGCGGTTTCAGGGGCTGAGGCAGAGGCGGTTACGGGTGATCAGGCAGGCAGGTGAGTGGTTAGGGGTGATCAGGCAGGCAGGTGAGTGATTAGGGGCAATCAGGCAGACAGGCGAGCGGTTAGGGGCAATCAGGCAGGCAGGCAGAATGGCTAGGGGTGATCAGGCAGGCAGGTGAGGGGTTAGGGGAGATCAGGCAGGAAGAGTGGTAAGGGGCAGTCAGGCAGGCAGGCAGAGGTTGTTAGGGGTGATCAGGCAGGTGAGCGGTTAGGGGTGATCATGTAAGCAGGCAAGTGGTTAGGGACAATCAGGCAGGCAGGCAGAGGCGGTTAGGGGTGATCAGGCAGGCAGGCAAGTGGTTAGGGGTGATCAGGCAAGCAGGCGAGTGGTTAGGGGTGATAAGGCAGGCAGGCAGAATGGTTAAGGATGATCAGGCAGGCAGACAGGCTAGTGGTTAGGAGCCAGCAGTCCCGGATTGTGAGAGGGATGTCCTGGATTGCAAGAGGGTGCAGGCTGGGCTGAGGGACACCTCCCCGCCTGTGCACAAATTTTGTGCACCGGGCCTCTAGTCTATAATAATAAAAGGGTAATATTCTAATTAGACTGGACATCATTCTGGACATCATTCTGGACGTCCTTCCAGATGAAGCCAGGGCCATAGGGAAGCCCGGGTCCTGGGTGCCTGCTGGTAGCCTTATGGAAGCTCGGGTCCCAGGTGCTGGAGGGAAGCTGGTGCCAGCAGCCAGGGAAAGGGAGGCCTACATTTGCATGAATTTTCGTGCATCGGGCCTCTAGTAATAACAATAATGATGATGTTTGGGGATTAGAAAAACAACATAGAAATAAAATGCTGCCTACTAATATGTGTAATGAAGTGCCTTGAGTGAAATATTTTTAAAGCCTGTATTACTCAGGAATGAGGTAAGAGATACTTTGTCAAGTATGCATATAAAAATTTAAAGGTAGAATTA